AAACTTAAATCCTGTTATGATCCCCTTTACAAAAGATTCAGCCAGAAATCAAAGACACACATCCACTTTTCTGGCAAAAAAAAAAATTAAAACTAAAACACTATCTGACCCAATTGGGAATTTATCATAAAACAGTTTTACCCCTTGTGTAAGTTTACCGTTTCCTTTTTTCAACATGAAAATGACTATATTTTATTATATAATAATAAATAAATATAAATAATATTTATAAATATAAATAAAGAATAATATAAATAATAAAAATAATAATATAAATAAACAAAAATAATATAAATGAATAAAAAATCATTATTATTTTCAACCTTTTTTTTACGTGAGCAGCTTGACCTCATCATAACAAATGCCTCATTTATCCTTGTAACCAGCATAATATCAGTATATTTTAACTCTGGATCACTGGGTTCTGAATGTTGACTGTTCCAGCTGCAAAAGCTGAGAAAACACCATGTTTTCCAGGTTTCTCTCTTACTGGGTCTTATTTACCTTTTTTTTTAGCTGGTCTGTGGTTCTGTGGGGGAGAACCAGCCGTCTGCAGCTCTGGAGAACCGAGACTGTTCTGTGATTCCTGGTGAGTCGGATCCAGATGTTTCATATTTCACATTTATAGGTCAAACGTCTTTATTAAAACCTGTAAAGCAAACCTACTTTCTCTCTGTTTTTGTAGTCGACAGGTCTCTGATGTCAGACTCATCTGAGGAATCTCTGGACCACATCAAGGCCTCATACGTCTCTGTAAGAAGAAATATTAACTCAGGTTTTATCTAACCAAACAAAAGATTTAAAGATGCAAAGTATTTTTCAAACTATCATGAATTTGAGCTAATCTGTTATCACATTTTTCTAAATGTCACAATGTAAAGTCCATCAGAATTTGGACTACTTTCCGTATTTTATTCCCTTTAACTTCTACACTTGAAAAAGGGATAGGATTTTTTTTTTCTTTTGAGTAATAACAACCACAACAATGTTTTTTTCACAGATAGTTGGGGTAGAACTTTATGGTAAACAAGGGAAACAATTTTTGCTCAGTTTAGGTTTCACATACCTGAACTTTTTTTTAGAACTGGTCTGAATAAGTACACTTCGAGTGTATACTATACTGTATATATATAAAATAATTTCCCTGTGGGATTATTAAAGTATTTCTGATTCTGATATATATACTATAATCTGGTATTATCAGTGAAAAATGTCTTAGCAGCATGTTAAAGGTTAAGATTTTCTTTTGAATATCAAACAATCTCCAGGTTCCGTGCAGGAAGGAAGAAATGCTCTCTCCATCTTTTTTGTTTAATATTGAACAAATATAAAAGAATCAGCCATTATTTGATTCTCCTGTGAAAACAGGTTTAAAACATTAGCATCAAATGAGAGATTATTGAAGAATCCTGCCATGTTTCATATTGTTTTTAATATATATGAGCTTTTTACTACCTTCTCGATTTTAACCCCTCTTATTTTTTTTTTTGTAGGGGTACAGGATGAGGAGAGAGTTCATTATTACCCAGAATCCTTTGCCTGGCACCATAGGGGATTTCTGGAGGATGATATGGGAGCAGAGGGTTCAGCTCATCGTGTCACTGCCTGGTGTAAGTTCAAATTCAGACTTTTATCTTACAGATCAAACCTTAAAATGATAATAAATAATTTTTTATTTCTGAAAACATTAATAATTTCATGCTGAGGATGGAAAATCACCACAGAACACAGATTAAGGGCTATTGAAATGTGTGTATTATTAGGCAAATGGAGCTTAAATGTATTATACATATTTGACTAATTTTTTCTTTCACGAGCAGAATCTCTGATTTTTTTATTTCATGTTGGTTATATTACTGAAAATGTAGGTTTTTATACACCGCAGCAATTGTTTTTCATCATCTGAACCCATTTATACATATATATAATATGTAGTACACACACAAATATATATTTATATATACCTACATACATACATACATACATACATACATACATACATACATACATAC